TTATTTAATTATCTAAAGCCTGTTCTATTTTCCCATGCAAACCGTCCTGTTGTCCTCCACAGTGGACATGCTATGAAATTATAAATATTTTTTTGAAAATTTAAATTGTAATGTTCTTTTTTAGGTCCAAATACATGGAAAATCACAACAGAAAAGAAATTTGAAGACACTTTTTTTCTTTGGGTCTCAGGAGGATATAGTCATGAGCAATAAAATAAAATAATTTAATTGAATTGAATTGAATTGAAAGCCGGAGGCCTGGAGCTGCTCCTAAAGATGAACCTCTACAAACATGGAACAGCAGCGGGGAGCGTTTTGGTGTTTCGTTTTGTGATGTTCTGCTCCACAAAGGTTCATTAGGGAGAGAGCAGATGGGAGGCGTGCAGCCTCTGCCCCTCCCACACAGCTGGGCACAGAAACCAGGGCTCCAGAACCAGAAAAAGACACACAAAAGGGAAGAAAGAGCATCCAGGACGCTAATCCTCTGAGCTCCAGACCACCCACAGCCTGGAGACGCCATCCAGGAGAACCGATCGGGCCTCCAGAGCCAAGATGGAGGGGAACACACCACCTTACAGCAGCAGTCTGCTATATCAGTGTTTTTCAACCTTTTTTGAGCCAAGTTACAGTTTTTCATTAAAAAAATCTTGAGGCACACCACCAACCAAAAATGTCAAACAAATCTGTAGCCGCCTATAGTAACACTATAGTTATTCTTATTTTATCTTAAGTGTCTTGAATAGGAATCAAATAAACACAAAAATGTATTTTTATCTTATTTTATATTTCTTCTTTCAAATTGCACTTAACATGTCCACTTCAATATACAAAATTATATACAAAATCTAGTCATAAGGAATTATTACATGATTACTCCACCAGTCACTAGAACAGCACAGACACTCAAAAATGGCATATATATTTGCAGATAATTAATTCCTCATCAAAAAATCTTTTTAGACCAATTAGGTGAAATAGGATGATTTTCTACACCTGACCATCACTCGCGGCACACTAGTGTACCGAGGACCAGGGGTTGAAAAACACTGTGCTATATGGCTGTCACCATACTGAAATATTCAACTCTACAGACTAACACTATGTGGGAAAACAGCTTTAATCTGCTGTTATACAGGAATGCTGCTGTTGCATCCAACCAGTTGTCGTTTTACTGAACTAACTATATATTTAACCTTAGTTAAAAGTCCTTATTTGAAATTAAATCATTCAAAAC